GAGATGTTGAACATTTTTTCATATATTTGTTGATTGTGTATCATCTTCTGAGAAGTGTATTCAGTTCCTTGGCCCATTTATTGATTGGGTTATTTGGTTTTTTTTGGTGTTTATCTTTTTGAGTTCTTTATATACTCTAAAGATTAGTGTTCTATTTAATTCATATCTAGTCTTTTGAGGAACCTCTATACTGATTTCCATAGTGCTTATACTAATTTACAATCATTTCAACAGTGTAAAAGTGTTCCCTTTTCTCCACATCCTCTTCAGAATTTATTATTGTTTGTTTTTGATGGCTGGTATTCTGACTGGTGTAAGATGAAATCTCAGTATGGTTTTGATTTGCATTTCCCTAATTGCTAATGATTGGAACATTTTTTCATATATTTATTGGCCATTTGTATTTTTTCTTTTGAGAAATGTCATTTAATTCATTTACCCATTTATTAGTTGGGTTATTTGGGGAGGGGGTTATTGTTGTTTTGCATTCTTTATATATTCTGGATATTAATTTGGCAGAAGAATAGTAGCAAAGATTTTCTCCCATTCTGTAAGTTCTCTCTTCACATTCCATTCCTTTGCTGTGCAGAAGCTTTTTAATTTGATGTCATCTCATTTATTAACACTTGGCATTGCTTCCTGAGTGTTAGGAGTCCTACTGAAAGTTGTTGCCTGTGCCTTTATGCTGGAGTGTTGGCCCTACGTTTTCTTTTAGGACTTGCATAGTTTCTGGTCTAATTCCTATGTCTTTGATCCATTTTGCGTTGATTTTTGTGCAGGGTGAGAGATAAGAGTCTACTTTCATTCTTCTATGTATGGATAACCAGTTTTCCCAGCACCACTGGTTCAAAAGCCTGTCTTTTCTCGAGTGAATGTTTTTGGTATATTTGTTAAGGATCAGATGATTGTAGATATGTGGATTTGTCTCTGTGTTCTTCTATTCTGTTTCATTGGTTTTATTATTTTATCATGAGTTCCCTTCAGATATATGTAGAAATTCAGATCATTTATATGCCTACCACATTCTCATCATTTATTATATCTTGAATTAAGATAAATATTTTAGTGAATGAATTTTTTACATTTTTATTTAAAAGAAAAACTGAATCCTTAAAGATGTGTAAATTTAATTCTGTATGAATTGGGTATTTTATAGAAATATTAAAATAATGGGAAAATTATTTTACAGATACTTGTATAGAAGTGGGGGGTACCAAGGTTGAACTGGGAAAAATAGTCTCTGAGCTACATCCCCAGTTCTACATGTTTTGTTAAACTTGGAAAATATTGAGAAGCATAAAAAGAACTTAAAATTTGTCCTTCATTCTACCACTGAGAAATTACCACATTTAACAATTTAATCTCTCTCAGAAGAAATCATGTTTAATCTGTATCCTCCTTCAACTTTCATATAAAATGCCTTTCTAAACCTATTTTATTAACATTTTTACACTTAGAATACAAATTTTTTTAAATTTACTTTTTTTATTTTTTGTAGTTGTAAAATAGACAGAATGCCTTTATTTGTTTATTTTTATGTGGTTCTGAGGATCAAACCCAGTGCCTCACACATGCTAGGCAAGGTCTCTGCCACTGAACTATGGCCCCAACCCCTTTTTTATTTAAAAAAAAAAAATTGTTATATATGGACACAATACCTTTGTTTGTTTGTTTGTTTTATATGTGGTGCTGAGTATCAAACCCAGTGCCTCACACGTGCTACACAAGCACTCTACCACTGAGTCACAACCCCAGCCCTAGAATACAAATTCTTATTTATTTATTTGTTTGTTTATTTATTTATTAGTTTTTTAGATTAATACAATATCTTTATTTTATTTTTATGTGGTTCTGAGGATCGAACCCAGTACCTCATGTGTGCTAGGCGAGTACTCTACCACTGAGCCACAATCCCAAATTTAAATTTAAATCCCAGTTTTAAATTCTTAAAACTCTTATTTTTACCTATTTATTTTTTGGGGGTACTGGAATTCTTTTGTTTCCCCTTTTTGAAACAGGGTCTCCCTAATTTGCCCAAGCTTGCCTCAAATATATAGTCTTCTTGCTTTAGCCTCCTGAGTTGCTGGGATTGCAGATGTGCTTGCTACTGTGCCCAGCTTAATTCTTAAACTCTTCTTACTCCAGTGCATTCTGGCGTGTTTATACATTCCCAGATACCACTTATTATTTCTCCATGCCTTTCCACCTTTCCTGTGTTAAAAAATATGTTTTCCTGCCTTGTGCATCTGGTCAACTTCTATTGTTCCTTTAAAATCCAGTATATAAACCATCTTTTTTTGAGAAGATTTCTTTGCCCCTTAACACTTCCATATAATATAAATGATTTCATCCTATATCTATAAATCTCTTGTGTGTTATTATATTCTATTGCAACCTTGTATGTGCTTTCTATGTAAAAGATGTGTATTTTTTAAAGGGCACTTTTATAAACTTGATGTATAAAAAATAAACATTTGTTCAGCTAGATTTCTGTAGAGAACAATGACTATTGAAAATATGGATAGGACTTTGAAATCACATTAATTACAGTTAATAACCAAAATTCCATTGTTATATCTAACAAAATTAATAATAACTTTGTAGTTCATATCTAAATTTCCCCTATTATCTCAAAAAAGTCTCCCACCCCCTCTGTATTGGGGATTGGACCCTGAGGTGCTTTACCACTGAGCCACATCCCCAACCCTTTTTTAAATTTTGAGACAGGGTCTAAGTTGCTGAGGGCCTTGCTGAGACTGGCCTTGATACTGTGATCCTCCTGCCTTAGCCTCCCGAGTTGCTGAGGTTACACTGTGCAGGGCAAAACAATACTCTTTACAGTTGGTTTATTTGGATTGAAGCCCAAACAAGGTCCATACATTTGGCTAATTGCCTTTTAAGCTTTCTTTTCTATCAGTACCCTTTACCTTATTTTAATTATGAGTTGAATCATTCGCTATAGAAATGTCTAAATTCTGGGTTTGGCTGATTATATCATCATGGTGTCATTTATATTTTCCTCTCTTCTACTTGCTATTTTCTATAATATATTTTCTACAAACTGATAGTTAGATCCAGAAGCATGATTGTATTTAGGTTCAGTTTTTTTTCAAGGATTTTTCATAAGGGTTACTGTATACTTCCTTTTGCATTACATTAAGACATTTATAATGTGTTATCCCACTTTAAGGTAATATTAATATTAGTTGGTAGATTCAAGTGTTGTCAATCCAGTCATCCAATAAAAGTTCTCCTTCAACCTTTTTTTTTTTTTTTTTTGGTACCAGGTATTGAACCCAAGGACACTTCACCACTGAGCCACACCCCCAGCCCTATTTATTTATTTATTTATTTATATTTTGAGATAGGGTCTTGCTAAGTTGCTTAGGGCCTCAACCTCCTAAGCCACTGAAATTACAGGCATGTAGCACCACACTCATCTTCCTTCAACTTTTAAAAACTGGACTTTATTATATATTTTTCTATATAAATTATTTACTTATTTATAATACTTTCCAATTTTCCATAATGAATTATGATGGTCACCCAGCCACTATTGATTTATCGTACATAGTCTCTTAACTTTTTATGAGATTATCATAGTTTTTTGTTTTTCATTTAAGGGTTGGTTCCATCTGGAATGTACCTTTGTATATGGCATAAAATGGGGTTCCATTTTTATTGCCCTCTAGATGGTTGGCCAGTTTTCCTGTATTATTTATTTTTGTCTTATCTCCATTGAATTAACTAATGCTTTGTTCTGCATATGGGTGTGTGTGTGTGTGTGTGTGTGTGTGTGTGTGTGTGTGTGTCTGTGTCTGTGTCTGTTTTTGTCTCTCTCCCTCCCCTCCCCCCTCCCCCCCCCTCTTTCTCTGTCTTGCTGGGGATTGAACTACTCAGGGCCTCATGAGTGTTAGCTGAGTTCTCTACCACTGAGTTATAGCCCTTTTCTGGCTTAAAAACCTAAGTAGGATCTGAATTCATTCTGATTCTGTTTCACCAATCTATTCCTACACCAATATTTATTTTATTTATTAGAGTGACATTTTGGTATCTGATAAAGCTGATTTCCTCTCACTCATTTGCATTTTCCAACAACTTCTTACCTGATGGATTTAGCAACCATCCATGATAATTGTCTTAATTTATTATTTCAATAGAGGTTATTGCTTTTGTTTTTAAGAACTTGATTTTACATGTTTAGAAATAACAATTATGAATCATTTTATAGTACATCTTGAAATTATAAATATGTATCAATAAAATAGCTACTTTTAAGCTGAATACTTAATTGCTTTCTTAGATTTTTAAAAAATAAATTGCTTTATTTTTGCTTCCCTCTCCTAACACCCCAACAGATTGAAGAAGAAATGTTGGCTTTGCAGAATGAACGAACAGAACGAATACGGAGCCTGCTAGAGCGTCAAGCGAGAGAAATTGAAGCTTTTGACTCTGAAAGCATGAGACTAGGTTTTAGTAACATGGTCCTTTCTAACCTCTCCCCTGAGGCATTCAGCCACAGCTACCCGGGAGCTTCTGGTTGGTCTCACAATCCTACTGGGGGTCCAGGACCTCACTGGGGTCATCCCATGGGTGGCCCACCACAAGCTTGGGGCCATCCAATGCAAGGTGGACCCCAGCCATGGGGTCACCCCTCGGGTCCAATGCAAGGGGTACCCCGAGGTAGCAGTATGGGAGTCCGCAATAGCCCCCAGGCTCTGAGGCGGACAGCTTCTGGGGGACGGACGGAGCAGGGCATGAGCAGAAGCACGAGTGTCACTTCACAAATATCCAATGGGTCACACATGTCTTATACATAACTTAATAATTGAGAGTGGCAATTCCTCTGGAGCTGTCTGCCAAAAGAAACTGCCTACAGACATCGTCACAGCAGTGTCCTCACTTGGGTACTACAGTGTGGGAGCTGAGTGCATATGGTATATTTTATTCATTTTTGTAAAGCATTTTGTTTTGTGTTTACTAATTGGGACATCATAGTATTTGGCTGCCGGGTTTTTTGTGTTACTGTGTGTGTGTTTTTTTTTTGTTTTTTTTTTTTAACTTTTGGGCAAATTTTGAAAAGGGTAATTGATATTAAATATCTCATGCATGTGGTAAAAAGAAATTGGATGGATAGAGGGGGTATTTTCTGAACACTGCAGAAATAAAATGCAGCAAAGTGGCTTGAGTCATCACTTGAGGGTATCCATTTCCTAAGAGTTTTGAGAAGATCTAAAGTGTTCTTCGAGTTCTTATGAGCCACTGACAGCAGGCAGCCTATGCTGAAACAAGGTATTATTGGAACACACCTGCAACCCCCACCAAGGAATTTTTTTTGTTAAATTGGTTTGACTTCTCAGCCTGATTTGGAGTGAAAAAGCAGAAATCCACAAACACTAAGGGATTATATTGGTCATTTCAGATGGTAGAAAATAACTTACTTCTTTTTCTGAAAGCTTCATAAATTTGTCAATGATTTTTGTTCATTCAGTTGTGCCTTCTTTGTGTCACAGTAAGATGGGGTTGCTTAAAGAAATTACAAGTTGTGTGAGGAATGCATTAATAAACCTGTGAGCCTTCAAAGGGGTGAGACAGTTCCTAGAAAGTTCATCTGATAGGTATGTCCAGCAGCCTAGTAAGGAGAAGAAGCCTGTATATCCTGACATTTTGTTGCTTATACTGTGATATCTCATCCTAGCTAAGCTCTGTAAGTTTTAAGACCCCAAACAGTACTTTTACTTTGTGCAAAAACAAAGACATAGCCAATACAAATCAAATGCCAGAGGTATTTGAATGATGCCATATTTTCGAACTGCCATCTATTGGAATACTCATCACACTACATAGACAGAATTTGATTATTCCCTTTTGGCTTATGGGATTTCCTGTTTACAAGTAGAATAGTCGATTATTTAAATGTTTAGTTGCCATAGTGAACCAGGAGTCACTGAGCCAATGACTACCAGCTGCTGACTAATCCTCATCACCACTGTAGATTTTGCTGCATATGCAGGTCCTCTTATTTTTTAATTGCTGTTTTTGTTGCTGCAGTACTTTACAAACTTCTAGTTCATTGAGACTTAGTAATCATTTTGGATCATGTTAACATCACACAGTAGGAAACACCACTTCCAGAAGTCTCAAGCCTCAGAGCTGAAATACTACTGAAAAGGAACTAGGAGGTTTGCTAAATGAAAAAAAAAAAAAAAAAAAAAACAACAAATAAATAAATAAAAGTAAGTTATAGTGGTCAGGGAATCTCTTGACAAAAGCTAACTTTTTTTTATTTTCGGGGAGTTGGGGGTCATGTTTTTTCTTTTGTTTAGTGTTTTGTTTTATTTTACAATGAAGGATCAACCCAATGTTGAAAGTCAGATGTTACTTGGTATTCCACTGCTTGTATGGAAGTTGAGTTGGAAGTGGGTGGGGAGCTGTGAATATGACTTGAAGAAAAAAAAAATGTCCTTTCTGTGACAGATCAGAGTTTCTTACAAGTTGATGTCCTGCCCGCTCCCCAGTTATCTTGAAAGACTTGCTGCTAACTCTGCATCCTGCTTTTCATGTAGTCAGAGGGCTCCAAGGTAGAACTCTACACGTCCCTCAAAATAAAACTCTTCACCTAGACCAAACTAGTGACCAAATTGTAATATGTCACTAAAGTCTTGATTTTCTCAAATTTTAAATCTTCCCTGGGTATGTCAGTCCAGTCTCCAATAATCCCCCCTTTAGGAATTTCTGACACTGATTTGAAGGTGAACAAGAAGAAAAATTAATATTTTTATATAAATCCTTTAAAAATCAAATCACAGTGGAGTTCACACACACTTCTAGACAGTGCTTTAAGTAGCGCACTGATACATTGTCCTCTTCGCTATGCTCCAGATCACCAATTTTTAGATAAATATGTGTACTTGCTCCATCTACTAAAAAGGACTTTTAGTCTTGATGTTCTTTTTTCCATTCAGATATTATAAGGTCTTTCAAGCAAGCAGAGAAATCTTCCTGTTTGGAGGAAAATAATAAGAGCTTCAGAATTTAACAAAATGCCCCAAAATATAGAATACCTTTAAATGCACCCTTCTTAGATATGGCCCTTCTCTACTACTGCAGAGATAGAATAGGAAAGCAGATCAGATTTGCATACAAAATTCTTTTAAACCTAAAATACTACCAGTAATACATTTTAAAGTCCAGTTGTGAACTTCAAATAGTCAAATTGAGTCACTTAAGTTCATTGAAATCATATGTACTTTTATAAAAGTGTGATTGAATATTGACTCCCAAGTGTCTATCCTGAAGGGCTTTGTATGTAATTTAATTGTATGGCAACCAGTTTATATGTAGGTTATGACTATACCTGGATTATGCCATTAAACTAATCTTAATTAAAATATGTAGTCTGCAAAAATGATTCAAATTGGTTCATTTATGTTTATGAGATCTAACTTGTGAGGAATCTCATACACGATAGGAATCATCACATAGTGAAACTGGTAACAGGAAAATTTGAACGGTTTGATGAGCTATCCTAAGGAAAGAGCAAGCACTTTCTGAATCAGTGTGCAAATGTCAACATTTGATCAAATTAACACTACCTCCTCCCTGGTGTTGGTGTTCACTTATATATACATGTGTGTGCGTGTGCGTGTGTGTGTGTGTGTGTGTTTAAGAAAATTTTAAATATGGGAAATTTATGTAGCATATCAGAGGTTGTAAATGCTATATCTGGTATCCAGAGCCTGGCAGTGAAAGTCTTCTTGTGTTCACCTTCTCCATTTTTTGGGCTAGCATTTTAAAAATGCAAAGCCTCATGTACCTTGAAACATTTTATTCCTAATTAGGTTCCCTCCCCTTTGCACATATTTTTTTTCTCCCCTTTTAAACTCAACTCTAACCCCAAATTAGAGTATCTGAAAGCATTTTCATTATGTAGATAATGTTAGCTAAAAAATGTTTATATTTTTATTAAGAGCTGCCATTCTTTTGAGGCACATAGTCCTACATTTGAAATCATACCCACAGGTGTAATATGCTAAGTACCCTAAGTCAAGGAATTATTAAATTGAACTTCTTGGCATAGTCATTATGATTTTTGACTGGACATCATGTAAACATCATTCAAAACACTAAAAAACTGTCCTGGACACTCCCCTCCCACTTCCACCACTTTTTTCCTCACTGCCTTTTCAAAAATTGAAAACTCTGTGTCTTTTTCAAACCATAAGGCAGACTTTCTGCTTCTGTAAGTACTAAATGTCTGGCATTTTAAACTTTTATAGAATTCATTGTGTTAGACACTGGAATAATACTGTTTATTTTCACCTGTGAAAAATGACTTTATTGTACTTGAAACACCTCCTTTGCATTTCTCCATTTGTGCCATTCACTAGTGGAAATAAATTGTATTATACCATGATCTACTGGCTTTTAAAAACTGTGTTAAATATGCACATTTTTGGTATAGCTATTATCATTTGTATGTATATATTGTATATACATATGAGTGTCTATATGTGTGTATAAATGGATGGATGTAACTCATACATGTACATTTCCATCAGGGCACTTAAGGTTCTGTTTGTTGTTGTTGTTGTTGCTGTTGTTTGTTTGCTTTCGTTATTTCAGTCCTCAGTTATGGCCAGAATGCATGTGTTTTAAAGAATGTGTACTGTGGGTTGATATTTATGAGAAGATGACAATTTGTGCAGTCTTCTCCTTTTTAATCCCCTCTTAGCACTTGTGTGAGTGGAGAGAAACTTAAGTAAAATATGGACCCATAAATTGCAATGCAGTAAAATTGTTCTGGGGAAAGGGCCAGCTAGTGTTTCTTTGAGTTTATGTTATGATACAATAAAAAGGTAAATGATGCAGAGAGAAATGAACTGTGAAAAGGAAGAACACTGGTGGTGATTCCTCTGCAAAGATGATAAAAAGAACCAATAAGTCACAGAGTCTTTATGTACTTTTTTGCATATATTTCTTAGTTGTGATACCATTGATTCTCTTCCTTTTTTTTAACCCCATTAATAGTAACAGTTATATATTTTGTTGAGGATCAAAACAGCCAAAAAAGGAATTACTACAAAAGCATCTAAGGTACTCCTAAAGCATAAAATCAACAGGAAATGGCCACTGGGAGAGAAGGATATGGTGTGAGGGACTTTCTCCTTTTAGCTGCCTCTTCTTGCTTGCTAATAGTAAGTTCTTTGTGCACCTTCCACCCCTTCTGAGCCACGACTATTCAAGCAGAGATTTGGCCCAACACAGCACCCTTGGAGGTTTATACAGTTCTGCATTTTGTCGTATGCTCAAAATGTGAAGTGTCCTAGTGTGTATTCAGTCGGAAAATAATTTATTTAAGGTGTGTAAGTGTGAATCTCCTATAACGATGGAAGAAGAGATTCTCATTTTTTAGAGCCTTCTTTAAGGAATAAAGCCAGTATTTGGGCTGTCATCTTTGAGCTGCTTACCAAAATATAGATCATTATTGAAGAGAAATTCTCCATTTTGTTCTCCCCCATCAGACATGATACTATTCCCACCTAGGTATAGCATTGCCTTTAAAAGGCACGTGCTCATTCTTAATTGTTAAGAACTGGAAATTTCCCATCCTCTGTAAAGGATGAAGAGTGTGCTGTTCATTTAGCATACTTGCCTTTTAAATGCAAGGACTACTGATTGAAGTCTGTTTTGCTGTGTCTGGTTATGTTAGCTGCACTTTTATGCAATCACTACAGTAGATCTGCATTGGAAATGACTATTAATTTGTAAAGAAGTAAGTTTTATTAAACACTGTCTAGAAAAAAGTGAAGCTGAGAACTCTTCCTCTTTTGTGCATTTGTATTTTCTACTGAGTTTTGGTAGCCCTCTTTAAAGTTGTATTGATTTTTTTTCCCCTTCTTTGTTTATATTCAGATTTCCAAAATTTCACTTTTACAAGGAATAGAACCTATTTGGCCTAATGGTACTCTTCAGATCATAACAAATATATAAATTATGCACCTTATTTGCCTGTTGTGAGTTTCTTAAACTTGCACTTCCCACCCACCCGAAGATAGATATATTTTTTAAAAAAGAGGCAGAGAATTAAAACTAGGGAGCCATGTGCTTTGTCACCATCACTGTTAATTGTTTCCCAGTGATCCAGACTTTTTGAAATTTCAGAGATTTGCGTGTGTGTGTCTATTTGTACTCTTTGTTTTTAATTATGCAAAGGGTTCTTCTTTAAGTAGAGAAAAAGGTTAATCTTCTCAAACTGAAGAATGCCCACTGGATAGTACTAATCTGAACATCTGTAGGTAGTTGTCATGAAAAAGTGAAGTAAGGGTGAGACTTCCGAATGAATGAAAAAGGGTATCTTGATGCCCAAGAATTCCCCTCAAAGTACGGGTAATTCAACCTGCACAGTTTCCTTTCATAGTTTTTAGCAATTGTGAGTGGAAAATCATGTAAGTAGCTGTAAATATGTAGCTAACAAATTGACCTAGTTTCTGTATTTTTTTTTTTTTTATTTTTTTGGTTTTGTACTAAAGTTATAGGTCTGTGCCAGCTAGAAAGGAGTTGCTGTCATTGCCAGTTGTGGTTCTAGCATCTAACCCTGAAACCATCCTAGGTGACATTTTTAGAATAAATGCTTAAATGTTGTTAAACATGGGGGAAATGAAGCTTAATTATTGGTCAGGTTTGAAATCTTTTGAAATTTAAGTAATTTTATTTAATATAATGATTACATGTTCTCAATCATGAGTAAGGTAGGGAGCCTCCCTCCCGCAGTGGCCATGTTTACAGTGTGTCTTGTCTATAAAGTGCAAGTGTGTTAATGTTTATGTAAATTACACAGGTGATAACATTATGGTTTGGGACTGTTTACGGGCTCCTTAACTGAATTTTCAAATGAAACAAACTATACTTATTGCTGGCACATTCATCCCATTTCTGGAACACTTTTCCTATTTCCAGAATTACATATGTTCCTTAGACATTACCCCCACTTAACTTCCCTTTTTCTGATATGCCTTGTAGCCAAGGTATTAAAGACTGGTGAATATAGATGAGGGAAATGCATTTTTTAAAAAATCCATGAACCCTTGATTGTATGCTTTCAGTACTTGTGTTATGTTTCTATGGCAACTTTGAAGTCAGTGGTTTAGAAATGAGATACCAGTGTTAATGAAAAGTGTGTACTCTTTGCTTTTGCATGGCTTGGCTTAGTATCCAAGGTATATTAGAGCCACTTGAAAGCATGAAGACCAGTTATATGGGAATAGGTTTCTATCAGTGGCACATTTTTGCTTTTTCTTAGCCCTCAAATACATTGCCTAGGCATGAACATTATTGTTAGAATAAATTGCACATGGTCATGGAGTGAATTATGTAATTAAAAAGGATGCAGCTGCCAACTGTTTGCAGTTCCTAGCTATTGTGACAGTTTGGCACATATCAAAATACCTAGGGGGTATTGGAACATTTCTAACCCTTTTGGGGAATGTTAAACAGGTATGTTTAGTTTATCAAAATGTTGGCTGCCCCTAGTATATTGCCAGACAGCTGTTATTTGGTGCCCATTCCAAATGTGCTGTTGTCCTTCCTTTGCATTTCACACTACCAGAGAAACCACCACCCTTTCTTCCTAGCACATTTTCTGCCTTTTATTCCACATAAAATGGGAATTGTGCCTACAAAGAGTGCCCCTCCAATTAATTGCACGAGTCCCAAAACAATCCAAGCCGGAGACACAAGGTGGGAAAACATTTCAAAAAACAAAAAAACAAGAAGTCCACTTGAGGCCAGTAATTTGTCTAACAAGGTCTTTTACCACATTATCTTGATACTTGATATATGAGCCTATTAGGAGTTACAAGTGGTTTCATAGAGTGAAATCCAACTGAAGAGGGATGTGTGGGGTTTCTATTAAGAGATAGTTATTTTGTTTTTACTTTACCTTTCCTTTTATGATCCTTCTTTGCTAGGTTAGAACAGGTTAATTCTCCTATTTTTTTTTAACTTTATAGGGAAATTTTTACAAAAGTGATGGTCTGATGTAAATAACATTTTAAAGTATAGTGCACATAACTTCCCCGGACTATTCAACCAGATTATTTGTAAATGCTTTAGAGTTTTTTAAATTAACACTTGTGTTGCTAAATCCTATTTATGTAAGTCTGCTAAAGTTTTTAACCCACTTAAAACCTTCAACATTTAAATAATGGATGGGTTACTATAAGCAATTTAGCTTTCAGAACCCCCTTGTTTTAGTATATGAAAAAGCCTAATGCACATTCATGAGGTTGGAGAGACTATGAGAAATATGTATAGTGTATATTTTAAAACAGCTTTGCTTGTATTGTGAAGATTTAAAAACAAACTTGAGATTTTTAACATAACTATTAACACAGTTTTAACATAAGTTATCCCACTGGGTTTAAGAGCATCTTGAATGTATAATCCTTTTTGTAACCCAGGTTGGTTTCTGCTTTTATCAGTCATTCAAACATTATTTATATTTTTAGTTTTATGTTCTCATTTCCCCTTGTTTAAGGATTCCTTAAACAGCATGATTTTTTTTTTTTGCACATGTAGAAATTTTTAAAGAGAAAGAAATTAATACATCATTTTATCTGGATTTTCTTCACATCTCTCTTACTTTCTACTAACCCCTTCCTTAAAGGCCATATCACCCTATTTGCATTATTTGTGCAAATGCCAGGGTTGGTTTTTATTTTTATTTTTGCTATTTACCTAAAAAAAAAAAGAAAATGCTTCAGTCAATTGCCTTTTTATTTAAAAAAAAAAAAAAAGAAAAGAAAGAAAAAGAAAAAAAGCTGTAACCTTATCATTTCTGAGTAGACCATTGAGAGATGAATGCACACCTGTCATAGCCCAGGACCAGCTTTGGTGGCTAAAAGGGAATGTTTTAACTAAGCAAGATGTTCTTTTCTAAAAGTGGTATCTATTATCCATTCTATTTCAGTTATTCCCACAAGTCAGGGGTCCAGATAAAATGAGGGTTATCAGCTAACTGATATGTTATCATTGAGGTTCATCAATGAATTTGTACATTTCTAGTTCCCTTTGGTGAAGGGAAAAATGATGATTTTGCAAGACCTAGATTTTGGCTTGGTTTCTTGCCTCCTTTTTTGGCAGCCTTCATCTTCTCATCTCCCAAAGCCCTTGAGCCTGTAGGGTTTTCATAGTGGACAAAGGACTTGTGGTTTTTTAAAACTGGGACTGATTTTTTGGTGAGAGTTTATTATGTTGAAACTGTGGTGATGTTCTACCACTTTACCGATGACTAATTTTGAATATTCACAGTCCTCTCAATTTTTGGACCAAACAGATGCCCACAGTGGAGGCTTATCAAGGGTTGCAATGGAGAAGAAGCCTCTCCCTCACTGTCAGCACCAGCTGGTAAAGGTGACTGTACAGATGTGCATTTTCCTTTTGATAGAAATGGTCCACAGCACTAACTGGTAAGGCTTATTGTACAGTACATTGTCAGTATTCTTCTGGTTCAGCATACCTTATAGTTCATATATAACCTGTATTAATTGTATAGATTGTGCATTTAAAGCTGTTACCAAGTTGTCAGAACATAAGAGCGAAAACAAGGTCATATGTAATATTTTGTTTGTAAGTATCCTTTGTATCATAGCAAAGGAAATGTTTAAAAATCAACTGTAATAAAGTAATTTTAGTACACAGAGTGTCTGCTTGGTTTTTTAAAGTAATTTTATTCCTATAAAGATATATTTCAGGGTCAGGTGCAGTGATACACCCTGTAATCCTAACAACTTAGGAGGCTGAGGCAGGAGGGTAGCAAGTTTGTGGCTAGCCTCAGCAGTTTAACAAGACCCTAAGCAATTTAGTGAGACCCTGTCTCAAATTTTTTAAAAGTTGTATTTCAAGTTAGTGACTATTGGGCACAATGTTGGGATTACAAAAGTGAGTAAAATATGCGTAAGAGTGAAGTACTTGATATAGACAGGAATGTTCTCGTCTAATTGTCTCAACTTCTTTTTACCCAGATAATGAAGTAGGCTATTGTGTTCTGGATGGAAGAGGAAAAATTTGTCCTCATTTGGGCAACACAGAATCCAGCTCATGAGGCTCAAAAGTGCTGCCCTTCCAGGGCCTTCCCAACTTTGCAGTGGAATGAGTTACTGACCTTCCTGGACTTGGAAGGTATTGATTAGAGAATAAGAATCTGATCTGGAGGCAGATTCCTCTTCATCATAGAGGTCTTCAAGCTCTGGTTGAGGATTTAAATAGCATTGGAGAATGGTATTTACAATGCTTTCACTATATCTTGGCAAACCTTATAAATTAAGGCTTATATTTGCCCTGTCTTTTCATATGGAACAATTAATAAAATGACTGTCCTAGGGTCATTTAAGCCCTTGATGAAGTAGAAACTAGAATCCACATCTCCCAGGTTACTACCTTAGTATTCTGTCTTACACACAAACCAATCACCCACTGAAAATCTATGTAGGTATCCTTGATGTTCAGGGAGTTTAAAACTTGCTGAGAAATTATTAGCCAGAGCAGGAGGCCTGGTTGTTGAATAAACAGAGCTGCTGCTAGTTAGTGCTCATAGACCAGGCTAGATCCACAGAAGTGAGGCAACAATCAGGGAGTGCACAATGTGGGAGAGGCTCTGTTAAACTCCACAGCAGGTAAGCATGGCTCTGTACACAGAGGACTTCGGAAGACAAACAACACGTATTTGTCTATGAAGATTTAAGAAATAACATTCTGGTGTTGCAGGGAGACTGCAGTTTATTTACTATTCAGAGGCAAACAAGTTTGTTAAATCGCACTAGTGATATACACAGGGCAAGCTTGCCTTATTATCAGAGAAGGCAATAGGGTAGAGAGGGCTGGGAATGTGGCTCAAGCGGTAGCGCACTCGCCTGGCATGCGTGCGGCCTGGGTTTGATCCTCAGCACCACATACAAACAAAGATGTTGTGTCCACCAAAAACTAAAAAAAAAAAAAAAAAGGGTCAGAGAGACTTGCTGGTTTTTTTAAGTTATCGACACAATACCTTTATTTTATTTATTTGTTTTTTTTATGTTGCTGAGGATCGAACCCAGGGCCTCACACATGCAAGGCAAATGCACTACCAACTAAGCTACAACCCCAGCCTGGAGACTTGCTTTTGATTCATTAATGTCTTTCATTGTTTTGATGAAATTTCATTTTACCTTAAGAACTTTAGCTCTTCCAGGATAGTTGTGACTAGAGCAAAATTACTCAAAAAAATGGATATCATTTTTTGTACTGGGGATTGAACCCAGAGGCACTCTACTTCTGAGAGACATCCCCAGTCCTTTTTTAGTGTTTTGGGGTTATTTTGTTTGTCTGAGACAAGGTCTCACTAAGTTGCCTGGCTTTAAACTTGTGAGCCTCTTGCCTCAGCCTCCCATGTCACTAGGATTATAGGCCTGTACCACTATCCCCAGCTACTGGTATCATTAAAAAATACTCTGGTCACTTTGGTAGGGTTTTTTTTTTTTTTTTTTTTAAGAGAGAATTTTTTTTTTTTTTTTTAGTCTTTATTTTTTAGTTTTCGGTGGACACAACATCTTTATTTTTTTATGTGGTGCTGAGGATCAAACCCAGCGTCCCACGCATGCCAGGCGAGCGTGTTACCGCTTGAGCCACATCCCCAGCCCGGTAGGGTTGTTTTTAATTAAAATCTTTATTGTTTTCCCAGCTTCCAGTATCCAGGTCAGGTCTGTGATCTCTTGATTCTAAAAGCCAAAAAACAACCAGAAGTCTTCACAACTCACCGAGCTTTCAATTCACAGACTCAGATGAGAAAACACCTTGTCCCTTTGTCCCCCATGGTCCTGGGGATTGAACCCAAGGCCTCAAGCATGCTAGGCAAGCACTTTACCACTGAGCTACACCCCAGCCCTGAGCAAAGATCTTGTATCTGATCCAGGCCACCCTCACTTCTTGGCACACATTTTCTCCATGGTGAATGCCAAGGGTGGTCTAACTGGAATATCCCAACATGTAGATTTGCTTTCTGAGACATTGATTGCATTTCTGGGCACTCAGATCCTCCCACTGAGTGTAGTAGAACTCAAGCCTTCCTAAAAATAATCTTTATACATTGTGATAACAAGTGCAAACAACTTCTGATGTTGCTTTTATGCTTGACTGTAGAATTATAGATCTCTACTGGTGGTGGTAGGAAGTTCTACTGAAGTGGCCAGATGTATTTGCTTGTTGAAGCAGGAAGAGAAATTCATGCTAAAGTTCATTTCTAAGAGATGATAACTTGGCATTACTAAAGGTTTCTGACTGACAAAGGATCTTGTGGTTTGGATGGAAGATGAGTACCAAAGAGTTTCTGACTTGGGTGGTTTTGAGGTTATACATAAAGACAAGATGACACTTCCTGTATCAAGACTACTTTTCTTACAGTATTCAAGTCTTAGAAAGGATATCTTCATTCAAAACAGATGATGTCTTCTGAAAGAGAGAATTTGGTGCTTTGTTTTTCATACTATTGTCGCCAGCCAAACCATTCTGGAAGCCTATATATAAGTACATAAACTAAATCTTCAGGAGAAATTATACCTTAGCACAGTCTTGATATCAGAGGTGAGAACTTAGCAGAACTGAAAGTAACCTTCAGGGGCAGTTGTCTGCTTCCTACATTTTGATTCCCGAGTGGAAACAGGACTTGGTTTCTACTTCTGAGATAATGTCTCTCTTAAGTCATCAGCTGCTTTTTCCTTTATCATTTGAAGATGTTAATAAAGAGGCCAAAAGGGAGGCAAGCAAGAAGACCTGAGAGGATCTCTAAAGACTCAACACATGAAAACACCAATTCAGTGGTACTTTTTTTTTTTTTTTTTGGTGATGCTGGGGATTGGGCTCACACATGATAGGCAAGTTCTCTACCACTGAGCTATAACCCCAGTCCCTTCAATGGTAATTCTTAGAGATTTGTTTTATTGTTTTGCTTCCTTAAACTCAGAACCTGCCATTTTGTTCAAGGGACTACACCTCCTCAGAATAGTGTGCCTGGGTCTCCTCCAAATTCACTTGATTAGTTATTTACCAAAACAGAGCCAATCTGGCTAAATGACAGGGTCACCCAAACCTTTCCTGCTTGAACAGGAACTATACTTTCTTGGCAATAATGAACTTTTCAGCTTAAGTCTTCAAGCAGTGATGGGCAGAGATGAGAGAAATAGCTTCCTGGGATATGCAGTGAGCACATCTGGCCTGAGGGACATAGAGGAAATATGTTTTAGGATTTAGGTAACTGGGGCCTAGGGTCCTGGGGAACTAATGGAACCTGAACTAGAGCTATTCTGACATTCCTCTGAGAGCTTAAAGACTGTAACTGTACAGTGGTAGAGCACTTGTCTAGCATATGTGAGGTTCTGGTTTCAATCCCCAACACTGGGGGCAGGGGACAGAATCTAAAAACAAAACTAAAAAACTGTAGGAGTGGGCATAGGTGATACACACCTGTTATTCTAGCAACTTGAAGGCTAAAGCAGAAGGATCACAAGGGTTTTGTTTTAATATTTTTTTTAGTTGTAGATGGACACAATACCTTTATTTATTTATTTATTTTTATGTGGTGCTGAGGATCAAACCTAGTGCCTCACACATGGTGGGCAAGCGCTCTACCACTGAGCTACAAGTCCAGCCCAGGATCACAATTTTGAGGCCAGCTTCAGCAACTTAGCAAGACTCTGTCTCTATAAATAAATTACTTACTTAAAAGGCTGGGGGTGTATCTCAGAGGGGGTGTGCTCCTGGGTTCAATCCCTAGTACCACCAAAAATTATAATAATTGTAAATGCAAAGTATGTACATTCCTCTCCTCTGTAAGCTTTCTTGCCTATATAAAAGGAAAAGAAAGAAAAAAAAACCTAGATAAATTTTTAAAAAATTAAAGAGAAAGGAAAATCAATTCTCTTGATGAATCAGAATCAGAATCAGAATCCTGTGCTTTTTAGTCTAGAGAAACTACCCAGATTTTTGCCACCAGGGAATCATTAAGCCTTAAGGTTTAAAAACCATTTGGCTGCTTCCCATTTTGCAGCCTTAATGGTTGGTCCAAAGGCATATGGGACTCCAGGACCCTAATTAACTGAAATCCCCACTGTACCAGCTGTCAGTAATTCTCCCTTAGAAACCCTTTACCAAGGCTTCGGTTCACCAACGACAGACTGACTCTTTATATTCAGTTTCTTATATCTCTTGCTCAGATATGGTGAATGAATGTGAAAAAAAAAAAAAAGGAGTGTGAAGGAGGAGGAGCAAGGAGTAGGAAGGAGGGTGATCATTTTTTCACAACAGAATATTGTGCCTTGGACAATTGAGTTGTATTTCAGTTTAGATTCTTGGAATTCAGAGTCTTTTCTTATTTGGTCTAAAAGAATAAGACTTGAACAAGATTATCCATACATGGTATCAGGGCCCTAGGAATAACTCATACCAAGCTTTGGGTTATGGCTTTTGGCATAAACATCTCTTTAAAATTGTTTTGCTGTTTGTGAGGTCAAACAGATGCCCTCTTTCCATTTATAAAATAAAATTGGGCTAGAGGCATGGCTCAGTGATAGAGTACTTGCCATGTGTGAAGTCCTAGGTTCAATCCCCAGCCCTGCAAAATCAGTCAATCAATCAATAAAACTTTGGGAAATGCTTATGAATCTTAACAACTCATGGAACCAAATCTCCCCGTAGTCAACAAAATTTTAATGGCCTAATCAAAACCAAGATATGTAGATCGGTCTATATGCCATATCTTATTTTACTCTGGTCTTCGGCATTGTTCTCATAAAATCAAACACCCACTTAGAGTAGTCAGGTTCAGAAAGAAGCTCTTCTGCCTTTACATGGATGGCCTTTTGAATAATTGAGCAGACAAAACCTGGTAATGGGAAACACTCATAAATCACTGCAGAGTCAGCTCTAGTCAACCTCTTGGTGCTTTGTTTCCTCTGGTTCCAGATGTCTCTCCTGGTTCTAGAAAAGGAGAGGCTACTAGAGTCAGAAAAGGGAGTAACTAACCAGAAATCCGAAGTTATAAGGTTTATACTATCCACTGACTTAGAGAAAGCCCACATCTCAGGAGAAAAACAGCTTAGGCTGGGACTCTCTGGAGGAATCCCCTGAAATAGAATTGGAGGGAGCATCTGAGGTGCCTAAGTGTCTGGCTACTTAACCCACGGTCTAGTGGAGCCTTGAGACCAGGGGGTGAGAGCACTTTCTATTCCTAAAATGCCTGTGGGATCACTCTAGTGAGACTTGAAGGCCTAGGCTGGATCCCCAGATCAGCCCCATTCCCAGAAGAAATTTGTGGAACTCCTCTCAAAGACTGGACATCAGCACACAGGAACAGGACTTCACATTCTCACCCTTGCCTACCCTGGCCAACGCCAATGTTAGCACAGCACTTCCTGCCTCTGCAGACTCCTCAGACTCAGGCCAGCCTGAAGCAGCCAAGCAACTCTGGGAGCCTCTTTCCAGCTGCTGATGCATGAAGTCAGAGCAGAGCCACAACCACAGAGCACATGAGGGAAGTGGGACCGAGACACAAACATCCTGTCCTTTCTACATCAAGTGGCTCCAACTCAAAAATCAGTCACTAAGCTGATTATTTATGTGGGACAGAGTGGCCCAATGACATGCAACAACTCATCCTCTGTGTAGTCATGGCTAGGAAGGAGGCAGAGTCCATGGACTTCAAAGGTGCTTATGAAGTTGACTAGCACTGGCCAGGAGGAGCAAAAATATGTTTCTCAGAGCCTGGGCAGCAGTTCTGCTCATGGTAGTGAGCGCAGGCTTGCTGGAAGTTCCATTTCTTTCCACAGACCAGTTAAAAAGACAAAGGACAGAATTAGGAGCAAAGAGCTGCCCTGTTCAATCCTTACCATCTTTTCTCGACTCCACCATGCCCCACTCTGTTCTTCCTTTCAGGACCAGAGGCTTTCCTGCCCTGGCCTTACCTTGTATATGATCTTTTCCAGCTAAAGGTCTCCTCCAGATTGTAAGAGGGAGAGACCTCCCTCTTTTGCAGGGCTCCCCAGCGACGCCGGCCCCCTAGGAATGATGTTCGGCGCCTGTTCAGCCCTTTCATTTTTTCTTCCATTCGGAAGAACTCAGTCAAGGCCCTAAAGGACTCCAGGATGACATCGTGGCTCCAGGCTGGTAAGGGCTCCTGCCGCAGGAAGCCACAGTGGCCTCCATGGCGACTAAGCAGCAAGAAGAAGTAAGGGTTGCTGTGGAAGAGTTCGGTGGGCAGAGTGTGGTCTGGGGGCCCACACACAGGGTCATCAGCACTGCAGATGCACAGTACAGGCACGGCTGCCTCGTCCACATCCCGGAGAGGTTCATTGCGGTCCCAATAGGTATCCCAGCTAATGGGGAAACTCTTGGTGTGGCAGAAGAGGGTCTCCTCAAACTCTCGCAGGGAGCGGCTCCTGAACAGCTTGCTGGTGTCCACTGTGTCTTCCAGGGCTGTGGCATACCTGGCAGCAGAAGTTAAATGGGGAAGGAGGAAAAGAAGAAGAATCAGGGGCTGGGGTTGTGGCTCAGTGGTAGAACACTCACCTAGCACGCATGAGGCAATGGGTTTGATCCTCAGCACTGCATACAGATAAATAAATAAAGGTATTGTGTCCATTTACAACTAAAAATATTAAAAAGAAGAAGAACAACACCAGGCAATAGCAGAAGTTGCAGAAGAGCAGCTTACAGGACAGATTTTGGCCACAGAGACGTTTTGACTATATAGTGCTTTTAAAAATTTCCACTTAATGGCCACCATTTAAAATTAGGCTATATTGCAGCCAGGCACAGTGGTGGATGCCTTTAATCTCAGTGACTTGGGAGACTGAGGTAGGAGATCACAAGTTCAGAGCCAGCCTTAGCAACTTACCAAGGCACTACACAACTTAGACTCTGTCTCAAAATACAGAATAAAAAGGGCTTGGGATGTAGTTCAGTGGTAAAGTACCTCTGAGTTCAGTCCCTGGTACAATAAATAAAATTAAATTAGGATATATTGTATAACATGCTGATTTCTGGCCTCTCAGGGCAAATAGAAAGATATGGTTACATGGGCTGACTATTCCTTCCTGTGTCATAGTGCCTGCCAGGCCTGTCATTCCCGGCATTACCTATCCAGTCCCTGTCCAGCCCTAGAGCCAGCATTTAACTTTGCAGCTGCTGATCTACATGAACCACTCTCGTCCTAACATCAGCTTCAGCCATCTCCAGGGAACTTGTTATGAACTGTTATCTCTTGGACCTCTCCTAGAAGAACTCACTGGCTCAGACTATCCAAAATCAGTAGGTGACACCCTTCTCCCCAACCAATCGCATTTTTATTGCACTAGTTGTTTTTATATTTTTATACTAATATGATTTTCTGATAACAAATCAATGTGACCTTGGTCAGGAACACGTGGGACAGGTATTCCCAGAAAGTACTAAGTGGCAGAAAAAACAACTTGGAGTGTGATTAATTTACTGAGTGTATTCCCAAATAGGGGCCTGAGACCAACTGTTTTGGGGAAAGAGACAATGTTATTTCTAGCTCCTTGCAGGGGGCCTTAGGTCCTACTAAGGAGGCCAGGATTGACAGTTCAGTCCTTTGGGTGATTCATCTAGCCTTAGCTACTTGAATTTAGACATGTATCTCCTGCAAACATTCAAAGATGTTTGCACTGAGATTTCAGTCCCAAATTTCCATGGAAGAGCAGTTCCTAAAGGCACAGTTTTCCTCTACACTTCCTTCCCTCTGCCCTCCAGCTGGTGCCCAGGGTTGGCATTGGTGATGGTCATTTTGGAATGGAAACTATGGCAATTAAGCCAGATCAGAGCACATTACCCCTGGACTGCACCAGCCCTCTGAGTTGCCATGGCAGCACTTCTGGCTGTTTTTCAGCTCAGGGTTTGACCTTCACCAAATAGAAGGCAAAATGGGGAAAAGGAAAGAGATCACCTACCCAATTCCAGCCTTTCACTTTTCTTTTTTCCATTTAATGATTGGGAGGTGATCATTAACCCCATTTGACTGAAGGGGAAAGTGAGTCTTAAAGGGGTTAACTGACATGGAAATTCAGAATTTGAACCTAAGCATGTCTGAGACCATATTCCAGGTATTTCTGCAACGACATCCTGTGGCCATAATGCCTTTGATCTCATTTTGCCATCTCCTAGAAAAGACAGGGAATATCACTCAGGCTTTATCAGTGGAAAGTTTCATCTGTCACCTGTCCAGCCCTAGAGCCAGCATTTAACTTTGCAGCTGCTGATCTACATGAATCACTCTTGTTGGTTCATGGTTATGTTGTTCTCCTTTTGAAAATTAAAAAATAAATATTTTTTAAAAATGTAAAATTAAATGTTGAGTACATGCCTAGGACATTTGTCAAGTCTAACAAATTTGAATAAATCAAATGCTGCCATGTTTCTGATTTCTGTCACCTCCTGGCTCAGAGACTGTAAGTAAACATTCTGGAAGATAATGGATTGAATTGCTTTCAGAGCCCTCTTTGCTGATCTGTGGCGCTATGGGCTAAGTGGTAAATGTCGGCTATCACCTCTGCTTACCCACAGGCGAGGTGCTCAAGTTGCTAGGACACCTGAGGAGGAGATGTAGCATGGGGCCCCGCCAGAAGTCCCTGATCTAGCAGTGATGCTCACTGACGCCATGAGGCCACCTGTGGCTTTGAAACTTGCTTCCCTGGTTCTGACTAGACATGGGGTTTGAACAGCTTTGGAATATGTGTAAGAACTTTGCCCAAACTGCCCCACACCTATTTCCATACCAGGCAGAACACCCCTCCACCCGGCCTGTTCAAGACCTCTATTTTCCCCCTGCCCTGCCCGTCTAGGGCCTTCATTACCCACCTGCTGAGGGCGATCTTCTGGTGCAGCAGGAACCCGCGTTCGTAGGGCCAGGGCAGGCCGGCCTCGAACCATTCTCGACAGCGCAGCACTGGCGAGATGCAGGCGGCGCCTGTCACGTAGCTAGAGGAGCCGCACTCACCCAGGTAAGACAGCAGCAGCGCCGAACCTGAGCCTTCGCTCACCGCGAACAAGGGGGCCGCCGGGTGTCGGAAGCGGATGTAAGTGACCGCTTCCTTGAGGTCCGACGGGTCCCCGAAAGGCTGTAGCCGGGGACTGACCAGAGGGCAGCCGTGATGGCCGCGGCGGTGGAAGATGACCGGGTAGTAGCCACGCTCCAGGGCAAGCAGACAGAGGCCGAGTACATTACGGGTTAGGCGCCCCCACGCATTGGGGATCACCAGCAGCACAGCGGGAAGACCCCCAGCGTTGGTGATCCGGCGGCCCCGGGGGCAAGGTCCTATGACCCAGTCAAGAGCCACCAGCCCGTCGTCCGCCAACTGCAGGTACTCCCGGGCCAGCTCAGGCCCGGGCCCTACGGGCAGGACGAAGTGGCAGAGGGTCTGCAGGTGTGGACCAGAGAGCCAGGAGCGCGGGCCGGTCTCCAGCGCAGCCGAGCGCCTCAGGGTGCGCAGTAGGCACTGAGCCAGGGCAGACGGCTTACAGATGAGACTGCACCCGCCGGGCAGTGGCTCACGTCCGTCGCTGAACTGGTCTGCGGGGCCTCCGCTCTTCACCTCCCTGTGGTCGTCCTGAAATAGGGCCCCGGGCAGGGTCCTCGCTCCGACGGCGCGCCTCCAGGGGCTCTGGAGCCGAGGGACTAGCAGGAGGAGCAAGGCGAGCGCAGCCAGGAACAGCGCGAGGGCGGCGCCCCACGGCGGCATGGCGAGGCTGTAGAGTCTCTGGCGGGCGGCGGGCGGCAGGCAGCCGGGCAGTCAGTCCCCTCTGCGATCTCCCCGCTCTGCCCGCGGCTCCGCCCGGCCTCCAGCGGCTGCCCAGGGCCCTCCCGCGCCAGCGGGCGGGCGCGCTTCGGATTGGTCGCAGCCCCGCAAAGGCAGCCAGTTCGGGTCGAGCTCCCCTCTCCCGCCCCCCACTCCCGCCCCCAGCCCTTTGTACAGGGATTGCGACAAGCAGAAGCAGAGGGTGAAAGGAGTTGGGGTTAGAGGGAGGGAGTGAGGGCGCGCCGGCGAAGCAGGAGGGACTGGGGTGTTAGTAGCAAAGACCAGGGAAGACCCGGAGGCTGAGACTTGGGGGCCGGGGGCGAGCATCGGAGCCTCCTGCTCCGGTCCTTCCATCCTATGAAGTCAGTGGCTAGCACGGGAGACTGGTCTCTGTGCCTTCGTGGGCTGCCGTTGAGGAGCTGCAAAAGCGAGAAGTGAATAACTCGCGGTTCGGGACAAGGGCTCTAGAGTTCCTGCCCGCCTGCTGCAGCGGCGCCCAGAGCCACCGAACACCCTCTCTCCCTTCCTTGGCTGCGCTCTCTGACCTCGGTGCTTGTCTCGGCCCCGCAGGCCCAGCAACTGCGCAATCACGCGGCAGGGCGGGGGATACCGCACCCGACTGGAGAGGGCCAGGGCCAGGGCGAGGGCCAGAGCGGCCGTCGAGTCCCGGACGAGAGTTTGCGGCGGGAGGTTGCTTCTTCCCTTACAGGGCGCTGTCCGATTGACGACCGCGGCCCACCCGGAGCGAGGCTCCTTGAGAGCTTGGCCTCACATAGAGGAAATCCTCAATAACGTTCCCCAGGAAGAAGAAACAGGCCCAAGCCTCCCCCAATAAGTTGAGGAAGAGGCGGGCGAAGGGACACGGCGAGGACAGACTGGAGTTCCTTCATCAGCCCAACATTTGACAATTAATGGCGGGAGGTGGAGGGGAAGAAGGCCCTTGTAAGTCAGGGATATGTGGAACAGCTGAAATAATACTTTTTTTTTTTTTTTTTGCTTTATTTCAAAGTTTTGGGCAGGACACCTCAAGCCCCACACTCTACACTCGTCCCTGTCATTCCTCAAAATCCTGAAGAGCTAGCGCCCTGCTGCTGGAGAGGTCTGCAGCTGTTTCACATCACCCCAGTGTGTCTCAGACCGCCGTTGGGGGAGATCAGAGAGGGATGGGGCGAAGGTGGAGAACAAAGCAGCTTGCGGGCTAGCTGCGGCCTTCCAGGGCTCCTGGAGAATAGGGGCTGAGACCCTTCGAGGCTCCTCCGGATTCAGGCCTTATTTTCGAGGGCGGGAGTGGAATGGGTTGAAGACGAAGTTCTAGAGCCGGGATCCTCTCACTTCGGCAGCTCGGACTTCGTGATCCTGACTCTTCTAGCTGCAGGTCACACTTGATGAGTGTTAAGCGGGTTTTCCCACTTCCCGCCCTTTGCTCCGCTCCAGGATCCCACCCAGGCACTACTGCTGCGCTCCGCAGGCTGCAAAGACGCGTCAGGACGAATCCTCCAGCAAGGGGGAGGTGGTCTCCGCCCGCCCAGCGACTCGACGCTCTCCAGCAGCGCTCGCACACCCAACTTTTCCGGCTTCGGGTGTAGGACGCGTGCGCGCACTCCTGGTTGCTGGGGGCGGAGCGGGGGCGGGGCGAGGCACGGGCGCGCGGTCGGGGGTGGAGGGGGCAGGACAGCGCGCGAGCCCGGGATCTACGTGGGCGCGCGGGCGGCGCCTGGGCGCCAGGGCTCTGGGGCCGAGAGGGCTACGCGTTTCCTCGCTGGCCCAGCCACTGGCCGGGCTGGGATGGCGCCTCCTCAGTCTTTGCCCAAGTTGCTTCTCCTGGCAGCCCTAGCGGGATTCCTGGGTCCCAGCGAGGTAAGGCGACCCGCTCCTGGGCAGGCTTCGGCTCGGGTTCTCAAAGCGCTTTGCAAAAAAGTTCGTCCTGGAAGGGTGGCGCGCGGAGAGGGGACTAGGAGTCCTCCTCACCCCAACTCCGGGCCAGGGAAGGGAGAGAACTGGACCTTCGCTGAGGCCGACGCCCCAGCTCTGCGCCTTGGATCCACAGGTGGTGGCTGAGACGGTGGAGGAGGCGGGAGCCCATTGTCCCGAGGGCTTGTGGCCTCTGCCCCCACAGGTAGGAGCCCTGGAGGGCCGAAGGAGAAAGGGATGTGAAGAGGTAGCTGCGCTGGCCTCTCTGAACTTTCCACGGTTACACTCTTGGGGACCTCTGCCAGTTCCCCCTGTCTTCAGTTACCAATTTCTCCACCCCAGCACGGGGCCTGGAGCCTACTGTCCCCTCTCCATCCCGCACACGGAGTCTGGCAGCTGTTCTAAGCTCTCTTCTTTCCCCATGTGTAGGTGTTACCAAGAGTGACCTACACACAGGTGAGACCAGGGCAGGTAAGTACAAGCAAGGGCCGGCCCATCCTTGATCTCTGCACCTGGGGACAGCTGAGACTCCTGCAGATATCCCCGCTTTTTCTACTCATGAGCTCCATTTCTTACCACTTCCTGCAGAAAGAGGCAAGGTTTCCAGTTCCCCATCCCAGGACAGAGGGCAGACAGTGAACTATAGGCCTGGAGTCCTCTGCAATGCTGTCACGAATGTTGCCAAATAGCTGGCTTTGTGGCAAGTGGAACTCTGAGGGTAGCAGGAGAAAATCCACCCCAACTCCCCTGTGTGACTGGGAGGTCTTCTGACTTTCTGAGCTCCAGTTTTCTAGAAGAGAGGGTATTAATTTTGTCCCTACCTGTAAGGAGTGAATGAATACTGTGTGATAGCACTTTGGAAGGTTCAAAGTTGTGTCACTTAGGAATGTGCCTCAGATTAGACTTCCAGACTGTGGGTTCAGCTTGCATGGTTGTCCCTGTCTTCGCTGTCACTGGTCACCCTTTCATTAAGTCATTCATTGTTCTGAACCTATCAGTGGCTCCTTATTTCCTGTTTTATCAAGGCTATGCTCCCCTGCCTGTCTTCTCGGGCCTTAATTAAATTAGCTTCATCTAAGTTACATGTCTTTAGTTCCTTTTAGTCATGTTGGTCAGTCATGTTACCCACCACTGGTGGTACCTTTGCTCTTGTTTATTCTCCACACCTGGACTTTCCTGACCTGAAGTATGCAGCTCCCTACCTTCCTGCTATCCATTGCAATCTATCTTCACATGCCAGTGCTGGTGTCACCTCTCCCTGAGACCTTGCCTGATCATGTCTACCTTTTTTCCTTCATTCCCTCTGAATCCCTGTAGCGCTCATAACCTGTCTCTTAATTTAACAACAAACTACTTCGAGTTTTGTTAGTTTGCTCTTTCATTGGCATTAGTTGTTTCCCTGAGTTTCTCATAAATTCCCCGCAGGCAGAATCTAGTTCTCTTTTGGCATCCTCTACAGCATCTAGCACAGTGCTGAGCACCAGCTCAACTCATTCAAAGAATAATGATTGATGAAATATTTTCATCCTGAGATTGTGCACCTGCTGTCTCCATGTCTTGTATTTGGTTGCTCTTGGGAGAATGTATAGATTGGATTAATAAATAGAAGACTTGGTCTTCATTTGGGGGGATGTTTACAATCAAGACTGGGAATCAGTAGAGGTATCAGTACAGCTACAGAGAAATATAGCTAAAGAGTACGGTCTGAGTGTAACAGGGTAGCCCAGTCTTGGAAGCTTAGAGGCTCAGCTTTGACTGGTGGTACTTGGTGGAGAGGAGGGATGAAGGGAACACTTAGAGTCTGGCCCAAGGCTTTTTGCCCTTTCCTGGACTCTGAAAGTGAAAGGACCATTGGACTATCCTGGGAGTCGCTTTATAATGGTCCCAAGGATGGGAGAACTTGTGATTCTCTGGGAAGGACCTGGGCCTGGCTTGATGTCTCTGTGCCTTTCCTCCAGGCTGAGGATGTCACCTTCCTCTACCACCCCTGTGCCCACCCTTGGCTGAAGCTCCAGCTTGTCCTCCTTGCCCACATTTGTGTGGCTAAGCCCTCACTTGCTCCTGACTCCAGCCTCACTCGGGATCGGGTAAGTGGTTGATGAAAGATGGTTGCCTGATTCTGGCAGAAGGTGCAGTCTCATGTGCAGGGAAAAGAAAATTCAGGGGCATCCTTTTTCTCCTCACCTTCATCTCAGATCTAACAGATACCTCTTTCATAGCCCCTGGTGCTGACAGTATGGGGGATGGCACTGGAGATGGCATGGGTAGAACCAGCCTGGGTTGCCCACTGGCTAAAGAGGCGACGGCGGAGGAAGCAGAGGAAAAATGTATGTTTCCACTCTGACAACCTTCCTGGGCCTTCTCCTTTGGTGACAACCCCCAGCACAGCAAGGCTATGCAGGAGAGGGTGTGTGCAGGTGAGGGGTGTTGGGCCCAGGCTTGGTTGGAGGTGGGGTCAGTCTGAACAGGGCAGGGGTGACTACTATCTCTTCTCCCCTTAGGCCCCAGCTTTGGCCTTTGCTCTGCGGAGTTGGCGGCCTCCTGGTACAGAGGTGACATCTAGAGGCCCAAGATGGCCTTCTTTGAGTAGTGCCAAGAGGCGGGGGCTGCGTGCTGTCCTTGGTCTTCAGCCCACTCCTTCTGGCCTGAGGATTCCCTTTGCTTCTACATGGAGCTTAAAGGCCCAGCAGCCCATTTTAGGAAACACAGGTGAGGGGAGTAATGCTCTTTCTGTGTCCCCTGTCTCCTTGCTGCCTGGACAGCCTGGACAGCCTGGAAGCAATGCCAGCTCCAGGACGGATGCTCAGATACCCAATAGGCAAGGCAGCTCAGGAGGCTGTGCCTGCCCGAATCAGGCTTCCCCAGCCCCTCGGGCAGCAGGGCCTCCCCGGGCAGCCCGGGGCCCCACCCCACGCACCGAGGAGGCTGCCTGGGCTGCCATGGCCCTGACTTTCCTGCTAGTGCTGCTCACCCTAGCCACACTCTGCACACGGCTGCACCGAAACTTCCGCCGGGGCGAGAGCATCTACTGGGGGCCCACATCGGACAGCCAGGACACTGTGGCTGGTAAGTTATCTCCCCACCCACCTCCCAGCAGGCCTCACCCCCAAAGGTTCCCTGCCTTTGACTGCGCTCCGCTGCCCATAGCTGTGCTGAAGCGGAGACTGCTGATGCCCGCGCGCAGGGTTAAGCGCTCTCGTCGAAGACCCCTGCTCCCGCCCACGCCGGACAGCGGCCCAGATGGGGACAGCTCTGACTAACTTGTCCCAGTGCTTTGGCTGTGGCCTGTGGGCTCCTCCTCCTGCTGGGCGGCTCCTACCTCTGCCACGTGGGCCAAGTGCAGGGCCGCCCCCTGGCGGCAAACAGAGCGACCCTGCCTATTCATTGCAGAGGCTTCGCTTCCTTGAGGGGTTGTGGGGAGCAGGGTGGCCAAGGGAAGAGCCATTTCTGCTCCATGGCCTAAACTCCGTTTCTAATTAAATTATTTTGTTAGAACCCGGAGTTGAGCCTGTGCATCCACCAGACACAGCTACCTCTAGGACACTGGCCCATCTCAACAGTGTTTGAGAAGGGGCTTCATTAAAATAGGGTTGGGTTGGGCGTGGGGGGGCACATTTGTAATCCCAGAAGACTCCCGGAGGCTGAGGTGGATCACAAGTTGAAGAGGGAGTTGCTAAATTGCCAGCCTCCGCGACTTAGCAAGGCACCCCGCAATTTAGCAAGACCCTGTCTCATAAAAAAAGGCTAGGGGTATGGTTCAGTGGTCAAGTGCCCTTGGTTTAATCCCCAGTAATCCCTCCCCAAGCAACTGGCATCCCCTCACACATGCTAGGCAAGTGCAGTATCACTGAGCCACAACCCCAGCCTTTTTTTGTATCAGGGATTAACTCGGGGCACTTGACCCCTGAGCCACATCCACAGCCCTATTTAGTATTTTATTAGACAGGGTCTCACCGACTTGCTTAGCGCCTCGCTAAATTGCTGAGGCTGGCTTTGAACTCATGATTCTCCTGCCTCTGCCTCCTGAGTTACTAGAATTATAGGCATGCGCCAACGGTGCCCAGCTGCTCCTGGGCACAGGCTTTTAAGGGTTTAGGGGTGTCAGTATCAGTTATGCAAACATTATTTCCAAGCTCCTCTTCCAAAGATGCTTCTGACCCTTAAGGATTTCCCTTGCTCCCTGCCTTTCCAGGTTTCTCTCTCCACTTCAGGTCTGCCTTTACTCCCATCCCCAATTCTCTAAGCATCAGAAGCTGGCACATGGTCACTTATTTATTTTTGATACAAATGTACATGACACACATCTTGACAGTCAGCCTACCCACCACCACACAGGTAGGGCCTGGCCTCCTAGGGGAGGCTATAGAGAAGAGCTGGTGGGTGCTGCTGTCTGCCTCTCCAGCCTTCTCAGACTGCTGCCAGGTCCCCACCTTCAGATGGTAGGACCACCATGGGTGTAGAAGTGAGGATGGGTGCTGGCCCACTGAAGTTACAGGGAGGTGGCTCTCAGCTCCACAGCCACCAGCTGAGTGCGGGACCCCGGGGAGCCAGCCCCAGGTGCTCAGTTTTCCACACGCCAGTACTTTCTCCTCAAGGGAGGAGAGATGGAGGGAAGTGGTGTTGCTTTTAAGTTTTGTAGAGTAGGAATCCAAGTGGAGGCAGTGGTAGGACCACAGCTGGTGACCCCAGCAATCCCTGGTCCCAGATGTGGAAGAGGGAGGCTGACCCCCAATGCTGTTCCCACTGTTCTGCTCCCTTTGCCCCTCAAAGCTCCAGATGGGCCAGGCATACAGGACGGCACTGCCGCCCGCACACTCACACGCAGGGACACTCAAGTTACCACAAAGTTAAAATTAAGAAGTGGGGGAAAGGAGAGAAAAAAAGATTTTTCCAGTGTTTGCTGCTGGGGACCCCGGCACACAGGTTGGGCCTATGCCCTAGGCAGGGGCCGTTTGGCATTAAAGGAGAGCAGCAAGGGGGCTGGTGGCTACAGGGCAGGGACATCCTTGGAGATTATGTACAAAGGAGGGGGATGCCCCCGCTCAGCCCCCAATAGGGCTGAAGTGGCTCATGGGGGTGGGGTGCATGTAGGGGGAGCTGCCCCATTTGGAGTGTCCCCATCCAACCCTTGGGTGAGGGTGCCCCAGAGGGTGATGGGCTGGGAGTGATGCCTTGCAGGCCCCTGCACAAAAGGGAGGGATGCTATGTACAGGGGGGAGGTGCATGGAATGTGGGGAACAGAAGCTCCTGCCACCCCACCTCCCCATACTTGGGGCTCAAGGGGATGGGCACCAGGGCACCTGGCTGCCAGGGGAGAGTGGCAGCACTAAGGGCACTTGTGCCAGTGGCTCTGTTGGGGTGGGTTAGTGTCTAGAGTGGCCCAGCTCCCGTGAGGTCCCAGGGTGTGGGTGAGGGCAGGGAGAGTGGTCATTGCTTCTTCTCTCGGGTGGTAATGGTGACCAGCTGCTTGGCGGCCTTGGCGATGTCATAGGCGCACTGGATGACCTGCTGAGTTAGCAATTGGAAGTCCACAGGGGCGCCGGGCTCTGGGGGAATGGTCTTCCGGCACTCACTCTGCAGCCGGTAGGCGCTGGCATTGAGCAGCCGCAGGGAACTGCGCACGGGCTCCAGGGCTGGCCTCTGAAGGGAGAAATGAGGTAGGTCAGGCCTTGGACTTTTAAGCCATGCTTCTCAATTACGGCCCAGCCTCCGTGTCTCCACCAGGCAGCAGTCAGATTCCCTATGCCTGCCCCACCCCAAGGCCCTCCTCCCACTTTTGTTTCCCTCTGGCCCTGGTACCTTTGGGAAGAGAGAGGCCATTTCGGTCACAGCCAAATGGATCTTTTCTGAGCAGGGCACAAAACTGTAGAGGAGAATGGAGAAGGTTTGGGTGAGGGAATGCTCAAGTAAGGGTCCCAGGGACAGAACCAATCTCTCCCTCAACCCTGAACTGGAAGCCAAAAGAAGCCTGAGCCCACTTCCATACCTGTCATGCTTGAACTCCTGCGCAGCTCGCAATAGCTCCTGAATGTTCTTGGTGACCTGCTCTGTCTTTAGGATGACATCCTCAGTGCTGGGAAGCCCAGGGTCGAGGTCTCCATCCAGGCTGTCCAGCTCGGGGTGAAGATCATCGTCCTTGCCCAGCTCTAGGAACCGCTTCCCTTCCAGCCTGAGCCCAGGTTTGGAAAGGAGAAGGATGTTCCAGCCACAGGCAGCTTGCCTGTGCCCATAGATGCTTGTGCCCTCTCCACCTCCTCCCTCTGGGTGCTGGCAGGCCTGGGAAGAGACCTGAGGGTGCCTCACCCAAGCATAGCGTCTCCACTCTGCGTGTTCTCATAGTCACTGTCTGCACCGCTGCCATGGCGGGAAAGCTTGCTCTAGAGGGTGAGGGGAAGGGTGGCAGGTGAGTGTGTGTGTCCCTGGGCCCACAAAGCCCATGTCTCCCACACGGTCCCCACTGGAGCAGAAATATTACCGCATGGCGGCTTCCTTCCTGGGAGCATGACAGCAGCGGGGAGGAGGGAGTAAAGGGCACTGCAGAGGCAGATACCCCCTTCCGGATCTGAAATCCAGGGCAGGGCTCAAGTCAGTATCTCCTCCCAGCCCCAGCTCACCCACAGTGAAGGCTGAGACCATGTCTGTCCCAGCATCTAGCACAGCCCGACACCCACTGGGGCTCAAAACCTTCTGGCTGCAATGAACCCACCTTCCCCAGGCCCAGCTTACCCTGTAAAGGCCAGCAGGGACGTGCACTGAATAGATGGCATCATCCTCCAGCTCCTGGGGTGGTAGCACAGTGGGTGTCACGATGGGCCTTGTGGTAGCCCCATCCCTGTTACCCCACCTAAGACCCATGGGCAACTCACAGTGCTGTGGAAAGGCTGTAGCCGTGTGCTGAGTTCGTCCCCAGCTGTGCCCCCAAAGGGCTTTAGGGCGGAGCCTGGCTCATACATGGAGAAGGCCTGGCGGTCCCTGCGGTGGGTGCTCCCGCCAGGCCCCATGGTTGTGTGTTCTGCACGATCACTGGGGAGTGGGGGTGTGGGCATGGGCCCAGGTGGCTGCCGGAGCTGTAGGTTCTCTGCCTGTAGCTTGTGGATCTGAGAGTGCACACAGTGTCCAATGCTGGATACAGGTAGGCACCCCCACCTTTGGGAGAGGGTGATTCCCCCCCCTCCAGGAGGCCTAGAAGCCTTCCCCCTACTCCCAGAGAAGCTGCAGCCCTCACCTCCCTTTGCAGCCTCCTGAGCTCATCGCTCAAGCTGCTGTTGACCTTCATGAGCTGTTGCACTTTTGCCTCAGAGGTAGCCAGGGCCTTCTTCAGCTCTAGGTACTCCTGTAGTGTCACTGCCCCATCAGACAGGTCTGAGGAGTCCATGCTCTGTAGAGACAGAAGCTAGTCAGCCATAAGGTCAAGGGCCCTCCAAGCTGCAACCAGCCCATGTGTTCCCAAGGACTTGGGATACAAGACAGGGCTGGGCCTTGATGGGGGCACAGAAGTGGGGATAGTGCTCAGACCCGGGCACGGTTATTCCGAGTGGCACCAGCGCTGCGCAGGGGCTCCTGGTCTGTGTCCTCATCAGAAGCCACACTATCATAGTCATGCTGGTCGTCGAGGTCACTCTGATTCCGCGCAGTCAGCTCCAGGTTGTCTGAGGACAAAAGACCTGTCACTCTGCTTGCTCAGTCACACAACCCACTTATCATGTTCCCATGAGAAGGGAGCCACTGAGGGGAATATCCTGGGACAGTGTCCACTGCCCACATCCCCACTCATGCCCATCCACCTGTGGGGCTGCTCAGGCTCTTGCCCTGCTGCCTCCGCTTGGCCTCACTGAGAATGTCGATGATCAAGGTGGCAAACTCTCGGGCGTTAAAGCGGGCCAACTTCTGTCGTCCCTGTAAGGCAGAAAGGGCCAGGTCAGCATAGGGATAAGGGGAGTATATATGGATGATCCACGTGGATGGGAACAAAGTAGCAAAATAGCACCTTGCCATCTGATCCAACCATAGCTAGAAAACACCAGCCCAACTTCACCTGGTAGCTGTACCTGGAGCTGGGCCAGCATAGTTTCAGGTGCCCACAGAAGCCCTTGGGAAGAGACTGGAACTCTAAGTGCTGAAAGAAGGGCTTCTTTCCTGCTGTAAGATCCCAGTGTCAACACCACCACCCCGCCTTCCCCTCCCCAGGTTGAGAAGACTAGACTCCTAGGAAAGGAAGAGACCTCCTCAGCTCCCTCCCCAGCCTTCTTACCTGATTCCGTGTGGCTGAGTATTCAGGGTTAACTGGCAGGAAGGGCACAGCACTGCGCTCTGTCACCAGGGTGCTGTGGTTTTGGGTAGCCAGCCACACTGTCGGGGCGGGAAGGGAGCAGATCATCCATAGGGGCCAGGCCTCCAGGGCGGAGGTGGGGTCAAGCCTTCCTAGCTCCTCCCTATACCCACCAAGTGGGTGTCCAACAGAGGTGGTCTCCATGCACACAAAGCAAAATTGGGTG